TACAAATTGTAAAAGTTTGTGGTACAAAAGTGACTGCGAAAACCAAGAACATAAAAGTACCCTGAAAAAGTTAGGAATTATAGTAACAAGTCAACCCATTTGCAGATACAAAAGCCATGTCAGATTTGTCTGGTCTTTGCTCTCCAGCCGCCCTTGTAAACAGCCGTGTTATTGGCTGATTTTCTCTTGCTGCTTTGTTTTCCATCCACTAATGTAAGCAGCTGTATTATTGGCTGATTTATTTCTGGTTTTCCAGCCATCCTTGTAAGCAGCCGTGTCATTGGCTGATTTTTTTTGCATCCTTTTGTTTTTCCAGCCATCCTTGTAAGCAGCCGTGTCATTGGCTGATTTTTTTTGCATCCTTTTGTTTTTCCAGCCATCCTTGTAAGCAGCTGTGTCATTGGCTGATTTTTTTTGCATCCTTTTGTTTTTCCAGCCATCCTTGTAAGCAGCCGTATTATTGGCTAATTTTCTCTTTCATCCTTTTGTTTTCCAGCGACCCTTGTGAGCAGCCTGGCCAATCTGGAAGGAGAAGAGTCGTTTGACCCGTCCCTTCTGGGCGGGGCTGATGAGGTGGTCCAGGAGAGGATCTCAGATGACGAGCTCATTCTCATCAAGGGGTGAGAGAACAACTTTAGTAAATTAACTGTAACTTTCAGACTTAAGGCCACACCAATTTAATTTGTTGGTTCTCGGATTCGCCTCTTCGTTTTTTTCTGATTTGCCAAAAAAAAAAAAAAATTTGATTCTGGTCCTGAATCAACTGAAAAATGCTCATGTTTTGCCCCCAACAGTTGAGGAAAGTCCTTTTCTTCCTAGTTGTTACAGTTTTCCCATCTATCATTGCAGTGGTTTGATTAAAAGTTCAAAATTCAATGTTTAAATTTTAACCCAGCCTTTTGTGTTGACTTCATGGCTCATTTTGTAGCATTTAAGCCTATAATAGGATGCCTAGACCTGTTTCTATTTTTATTTTTTTTCGCCCTGTCGCTTCATATTTTTTCTGAAAAAATCCGAGAACCAACAAATTAAATTGGTGTGGCCTAACATTGAAGTGTTTATTTCAAGATGACACTCACAACAATTTGAATCTTCAGCACGTTCTTGGTAGGTGTAGCTCATCGTCAGTTCAAACTCAAATGTGTCCACTGCACACATTTCCTGTGTGTGCATTATACATTGTGTATTGTTGTCAAGAAACTCATGTTGTTAATGAAGATTTACCACATGCGTGGAAAGATTGACATAACAGGTGACTATCACCTCTTCAAGATGTCAAACCTGAGAGACCAGACTGTAAGGTTTGAACCACTCACACTGGGAAGGTCCCCTGCACTTTTCGATGAGTGTGGTGGGATCTTTAACATGCTCAAGGTGTGGCTGTCCTCATACATGAATGTGTCCCTATCCGAAGCTAAGCAGTGATCGAAATGTTTTTTTTTCAGTGCTCTGCAAAATTGCAGAAGAGTAAAAATTTGGTTCTGCAATTCGGAAATACTTCCTGCATGCAAATACACAAGCCTCCATACTGCAACCTTCTCAGACGAATTGTGCCTTTTTACATCATATATAGCTTTGTAAATCTGTAGCATTACTGGAATTCTCTAAAGTTTAAAATATTACTCGTTTTAATTTCAGACTTTATAGATCCTTCTCTACAGAAAATTTATCATTTCATGGTATCTTTCACTTTGCAGGAGAAATACAGGTTTATTAGCACAAACTATTGATTGATATGCAAATTAGTGAAGACAGATTTTGGGGGTCAAAAGGAAACAAAAGATAGACAAGTCAAGACAATGATGATGCAAATTAGTGAAGAAGCTGCTGTTGTTTCAGAACAGGACTCTAAGTGTTGTCTGTCCTTGGGGCCAGAGAGTTCTAGTTTGCTAAATTGAAAACCATTGAATCTGGAGCCTATTTTTCCTTCTGCAAAATTGCAGATTGTATAAATTTTTCTTCTGCAATCTTGAAAATCTATCTGCAGAGTGCAGACTGCAGACAGGTATTTCGAACACTGCTAAGTTTATTTACACCTGAGTCAAGTGATGAAATACATGTAGGACTGGTGTTAAGTGCCTTTCCCATTAGGACACAACAATGCGATCTGCCAGGGATTGAAACCCAGAACCTTCAGATTCAGAGTCAACGACCCTAACCACAAGACCACCTTGACACCTTTTAACCTCATTAAGATCTTACTAAAGGTGGATGCAATTGTAGGTATCCATTTATTGAGTTTTTGTGCTGTAAAGCAATGGTCTCTCTCTCCCGGCGGTGTAGGCCCAAGGCTCGCTCAGCCAGCTCGATCATCCTGAGAGGTGCCAACGACTTCTACTGTGATGAGATGGAGCGGTCAGTGCACGATGCCCTGTGTGTGGTCAAGCGCGTCCTGGAGTCCAAGACCATCGTACCTGGGGGTGGGGCCGTGGAGGCCGCACTGTCCATCTACCTGGAAAACTTCGCTACTTCTCTGGTCAGTTTCTCGGATACAGTATTTTGTATTTTGCACAATCATACAAAGTTCTACTTTGGCAATCTCTAGCATTACCGTACAACACTATACAGTGTAACAAAGTAAAACTTACATGAGGACACTTAACTTCTTAACCCTTGTCCTGCGGGGCCCATATATATATGGGTTGCACATACAGTACCATCTATATAGTGCCCTGTATATGTGCGATTTGGGGGTGTTTCTTGTGCAACGCATCACACCGCAGCGAAACACAACGAATGCAGAAGTAACTATGCCGCCGCAGGGCAAAAAAAGTCAAGGGTCTGTGACCTGATTAAGACATGAAATTATTTGAAAATATTGTGTAAAAATTGCCAGCAGGACAAGGGTTAAGGTCAATGTTGGAAAACCGATTGTACAATGTTTAATCACTCAGGTGTCAGATCATGGAGCTAGAAAAGGTTGCTCAGCTCGAAAAATTTATGTCCCTTGAAGGAGTCTACACAAAAAAAGGCTAAGGTCGGCAGTTTTTCCTAGGCTCGTTTGGGAAACAGGAAACACATTTTTTCCTAGGCCTTGGTTCTTAGATATTGTTCTCACAAAGAACAGAAATATCCCCTGAAACGATTGTCTTCTCCATTTTGCAGGGATCGCGGGAACAGTTAGCCATCGCGGAGTTTGCCCGCTCGCTGCTGGTGATTCCGAAGACGCTGGCGGTGAACGCGGCACAGGACTCGACGGAACTGGTCGCCAAGCTGCGGGCCTACCACAACACCTCACAGATCAACACAGAACGCAGCAACCTCAAATGGTCAGTAAAGCTTCAAATATCACTGAATTTGGAGATGTTAACCTAGTTTCCTTTTTTTCAGTGAAGTACATGTATGCATGTCCAGACCTCCAGACTTCTCCCATTTTAGCATTATGCTCCCAAAAATTAAGTCATGCACCTAGAAATTTTCGATAGGAGCATCTAGTGCTCCCATCAAAACTTGAATGCATTATAATGTCTTTATCATAGACTGCAAAACTCAATATCGTGACTGAATATTGGTATTTGCGTTCTTGCCCTGATGATGGTACTTCCACTCTGCATGTTTCTATGTACAAAAAGCACAATATTCATGCAATGCCCTGCAACTTAATGTTCGATTTGATGATCTACAATGGACCTTCATAGAGGTGTGCCTAGATTTTTGCTGGTGCACCCAAATCATTTGTGTTGGGAGCATTGTCAAAAAGCTCCTAAGTCAAAAAGTTAGTCTGGAGAGCCCTGATGTCTGTCAGTCAAAAATACATTTGAGCTTTTCTTTTTCCTGCCTACGGGATAGATTTTGACCAGGTCTCAAACATACAATATATACTAGAGTTCATGGAACACATGCTTACGTCAGGTATACTGACAAAGCACATACTAGCAGTTAAAAACGTTTGTCATGACTTACAT